GTTCCAGTTTAGGCCATCAGAAGCTCTTTTAATTGGCTTCTGTTTATTTTGCACAAGTCCCCATTCTTTTCTGTACATATTCTTATTTTCTTAGGCCACAAGATGTTCTGGGTTTATTTGTATTTTCTCTGCTCCAACATGGAAATAACTACAGAATCAGGAGTGCTGGTATGAAAGTATGGTATTTAAACAACCAAGATCTGGCCACTAGGTATGCTCTTTGTTAAACTGTTATTTCTGTGCTTCTAGGCCCTCTTAGCAGATAGAACTATTATATAGTACACAAACACACATACATATACCTATATATACATATATATGCCTGCTAACCCATGCATATTTATAAATCTGTACTTATTTTTATTTTATTTATTTGTTTATTTTTTTGACACAGAGCCTCAAGCTGTCCCCCTGGGTAGAGTGCTATGGCATTACAGCTTACAGCAAACTCCAGCTCCTGGGCTTAAGCAATTCTCTTGCCTCAGCCTCCCAAATAATTGGGACTATAGGTGCCTGCCACACGCCTGGCTATTTTTGTTGTTGTTGTTACAGTTGTCGTTGTTGTTTAGCTGGCCCAGGCCGGATTCGAACCCTCCAGCCTCAGCTATGTGGTTGGCACTGTAACTATGGGCACCGAGCCAGTCTTTGCCTTTTTTTTGATACTTTTTACTATAAAAGGAAAAGTGGGCAACATAAAACTAGTAGGATATTTGACATTGCATTTGAGGAACTAATACATCAATATCTGGTTTGATGGAAGTAGTTGCGATTCTTAATGAGTTCTCGAGGTGCTCATCAGATGTTTTGATTCTAAATGGAAGAAATGGAATAAAAGAAAGGAATGTGCTTCATTCTTGAAAATAATTACTGGTAAATGTAGGTGCTGCCAAAAAGTGATGACAAGAATAAGGCGTGATTGTGGAATTAAGGATTTTTGTCTCTGGGAAGATAAGACCTCTAAAGGCTCGGAGCCTGTGGCTCAAGCAGCTAAGGCGCCAGCCACATACACCTGAGCTTGTGGGTTCGATTCCAGCCCGGGCCCACCAAACAACATTGACAACTGCAACCAAAATATAGCTGGGCATCGTGGCAGGCGCCTGTAGTCCCAGCTACTTGGGAGGTGGAGGTAAGAGAATCCCTTGAGCCCAGGAGTTGGAGGTTGCTCTGAGCTGTGATGCCACGCACCCTACCCAGGGCAACAGCTTGACGCTCTGTCTCAAAAAAAAAAAAGACCTATAAAAGTCCAGTATGGAGACATGATCAAATTTTTCTTTAAGCTGAATGTCAGATTTTGGCTCCATGTATTCCATTGGAAAATTAGCAGGTAACATATTTATGAGTCACATTGGCAGCTCCTGTGACTCAGTGAGTAGAGTGCCGGCCTCATATACTGAGGGTTCAAACTTGGCCCTGGCCAAACTGCAACAAAAAAATAGCCGGGCGTTGTGGCAGGTGCCTGTAGTCCCAGCTGCTCGGGAGGCTGAGGCAAGAGAATTGCCTACGGCTCGGTGCCTATAGCT